TCCCTACTCAACTATCTTCTCACTTCTATTTTGGTAACTAGAGTTTAAAAATTTTCAATTTAACAACTCAACTTTCAAATTATTTTTGTTTTAATAATAATTTTTGTAATATGACATTCTTATTCTTATTATATATATATATATAGTTAAAATAAAAAAATTGAAAGTTAGAGTGATTAGATTAGGAGTAAATTTAAAGTTAAATAATTAAATTAAAAAAAATTAAACTTCAGTGATCAAAATTTGAGTGAGAAGATAGTTGAGTGATAAATGATTTAATTTACCTATAAAAGGTGTAATGTATAACAGTTTCACTGAATTTGTATCGGTAATGTATCAAAACGAAACAAAAAATAAACGTTAGGTATGATTTTAAGAAAAAGAAAGTTGAGGTACCAAAATTGGAGAAAAATAATAATTTATAATTTAGGCAGTAACCGTGTAGTTTACCCTTGATGAAGACAATATATTCATGAAATGATATATATATGGTAGAAGAGGGAAATTAAAGAGTCAGAAATGGATGAGTTGTGGTAGGAACGAGATTTTCAGCTAAAATGATTCTATCAACAAAATAGACAATGGACCATACACTCAATCTTTGAATGAAGCATTCAAATTTCCAACTCTTTAAATTTCTTTATTAAAAAGGTTCAGTTCCACAGCCTCGGCGTCTCATTCCCTTTACAACAAAGTAATGAAATCTTTTTAGTTTATTTTTCAACTCAAAACAACTGACAAAATTCTGCAACTACAACTGGCTGTGGTCTCAAGAAATGCGCTTCCATATGCTTTTAATATTTTATTAAATAATTATTTTTTCTTTAGAATATTTTCATCCCAATATTTCATATTGAAGGGGAAAAAACATTTTTGTGGATGAAATATTTAATCAATAAATAGTTAATATTCTAAAATAGGGGTCTCTTGTCATAAAATGAAACATTGGGGAGAAACGCTCTATAAAAATAAGACTAAAGTGATAATTTAATCAAATTTTATGAGTATTTTTATCTTAAAATAAAATATAAAAAATGAAATAATTATTTAATCAAATGTTAAAGATAACGTTATACTAATCTGAAAACCCATGATGGTTAATTACATTATTTATGATTAATGTTGATGCAATTGAAACTATGTATTGGAATGCATGATATGATTAGCTCGATGGAGTTCATAGATTAATGAATGTGCCTAAAAGAATAAATGTGAAGCTTTGTTAAGAATGATTAATAATTATAATTAAGACATGGGGAGTTGAGTTCATATCTTGACATGTGTCGGTGTTGAGTAAAAAGATGCAGGCTTAGCATTGGTTTCTAGGCAGGCTGAGCGGAATTTCATATATAAAGCTTTGCTAAAAGGAATTTTTTTGTTCACTTGGGACATCGAAAGTTGCGTAACGCATAAAACCTTTGATAATTTTCAATGACTAAAAGTAGCATTGGGTTTTCAATTTTTTCAATAAAATAAAATAAAATCCATTTGATATTTTGCGATCACTTGATTGATGAAACTTTGACGCCATGTTTACATTGAAGTTTGTTGATGGGAAAATTGTAGTTTTAGTAGTGTTTTACGGGGTTTTTTTAATTTAGATAGAAAATTTTAGATCGTAATTCTTTAGAAAGATAGTATATCTTAAACAAAATGTTAAATTTGAGAACAAAATAGAAAAATAATGATGATAAAATATTATTATAAAAAACTATGATAAAAAAAGAGAGTTTATATTATGTCTTAAGATTATTAGAAGTATAATAATCTATGACCATAATCACACATGAGAAGATAAAACTAACAAGATTAAACTTATTAATTGATAATGAAAATCAGTATAGAAAGAAATATTCTATAGATCAAATGATTGGAATCAATTGAGGCATATCGCTACACAGTTTTCTTAAGACAGATTTTTAGCCACTCCTTTGATGCTTGAGATTGTTGGTTGTCTGTATCTCAGGATACAAATAACTAGATGATCAACTATTGTAGTACAATTATAGAGATCACGGACTATCATTTTTATCTACCACCGAAAAGTTAATATAAGAGAAAATATTTTTTTTTCAAGTTCTTGAATTCTAAACTGTGAAAACTTGTTAACTTGTTGAAACTTATGAAACTTGTATTTAACCTATAAGGTTAGCACAATATTTATAGGGGATTCTCAAAGGAAAACAGTCCTTCCAAAAAGTGCAATAGCATATTTCAATCGAATATAATTTCGTAATTGCATATTTGTATTTTAATTGAATATAAATTTATAAATAATATATTTGTATTTAATTAAATATGAATTTATCAATAATATATTCATATTTTAATCGAATATGAATTCGAAAATAACATATTTGAATTTTAAAGAATCCACACAATATCCTTTTAATTTAAAATATTCAAATAAATATGTCAAATTTAAGAAAAAATAAATTACTAAATTCATCAATGAATTCATACATTTTCCCAACAACATATTGAAAAAGACGAAGAACAATAGGCTTAGAATCCGAGATAGTATGCCTATTATTTAGTTTTAGGAGTTTGAAACTACGATTGATGACCGATGATGGATAGGTAGGTGGTGATGGGTGGATAGGTTATTGGTGAAGGCTGTAACGGCGGTGGACAGTCAACGAATAGGAGAGATACTTTGGGATTAATTTTATGACTTTTTTTAGATTTTAAAAGTATTTTGGATTTTTTACATAATTTTAGTTTTTTTAAATGATTTTTACAAATATATAAAACAATCACGTGTCACGTTCGGAATAGTTAATGAAATTTTTTTAATGTTTATTATGGTCGATGCACCTAAACTTACCTAAAAAAATGCAGGTATCAAAATGAGAAAAAATATATAATTTACACATTTTTTGTATTAAACTTAGTTTATAATCATCTTATACTATTAAAAAATATTATAATTTATTTTTCTTAGATCATATTCAGGGTTCTATCACTAGCAAAGAGCAAATAAACCTCATTAAAATCAATTATAGTGAACCAAAATGTAGAGTAAATCGGCCCACGACAATCAAAACTTCTTTTAATAATTTAGCAGATCTACATAAATAATTCCCCAAATAAAATTCCCATCATATGATGCAAGAAAAACAATACTACAAAACTTTCAAAGTCCTCACAAAGAACACGAGATTTCAACGGTAAACAATTTCTTAGAGAAAAATACTTTTTACCAAAATCAAACAACCGGGAAGAAGGATATGTGATAATGAAACATGTTCCCCAATAGAGTTTGTTCTTCTTGAAGCCCAGCTTTAATTGCGTCAGAGGAGGTTGAGGAAGATGAAAATCTGGTGGAATAAAAATAATAGGGTAGATGAGATGAAACTAATATAATATTTTAAAATTATTTTTTTTAGAATTAAACAGAAGCCACTACTTTTATTAAAAAAAATATTCAGAATTACAATGAAAGTTTACTATCATAACTATAAATTAAATTATGATATTTTCTTATAATCATTGAGGTAAAAAACTATCAACTTTAGATCATATAAGAACCATATAAGAAAAATGTTAAAAGTTCAACTAAAATACTTAAACAAAGATAGATACAAATAAATCTAACTGCATCGACAAACGAACCATAAAAGATGATTAAACTATTAAATGATCACTGACAAATCACAAACCAGAGTTAACCGATATGAGAAGACCATCCATGAACAGTCGAATACAACCGCGTATCTGAATCCAATTCAAGAGTCTAAAGTCGAAGAGATCAAAGGGTTAAAGTATTAAATTAAATTAAAATTAGGAGCAGTTTGATAGAAAGTATAAGCGTTAAAGATCAAATATATAATTATATCAATTTTTTAACTATCAAATCAACACTTCTGTTAAATGTTAATTATAGTCGGCTTGATTAATATCATTTAAATAATTAAGTAACCTGATTGATAAAATTGAAAAGATATAATAATTAAACGATTATAAGTATAATTTACCCACAAATTAATAACTTAAAATTATAGCTAAATATTTTGAAATTTAAAGATTAATATAAAATCAGAATCTTAATTTAGTGACAAATGATACAATTACGTGGAACCAAAATTTACAACGAAAGGAAAACTAGGTGGGTTTGTCTACATGGAATATCACGTTAAACAAAATACAAAACAACTTTTGCACGGGACCCACAAATGTTTTGAGGGACATTCTAATAATTTCATCCATCTAAAAAGTTACAACCATTGGTACAATCATTTCCGCTGGGCCCGTACGTGGCATTTCTGTATTGGTTTGTCGCTTTCCGCAACTTGACCCCATCATACTACCCTTCCAGCTGTCTTACCTGTCAATTTCCAGCACACACTAAATTAAAAAGAAAAAAGAAAAATTGTAAACTAACTATTTAGTCATCCAACTATTTTTACTGTTCTGTTTGGTCACTAAATTATTTTTTCATTTTAAAAGCATTACTAGCTTACATTTTTATTTTGTTTTGATCACCAACTGTTAAAAGATAATATTAATGCTAATATGATGATTTCTATATATTTTACAATGATGACATGATATTATCATATAGTGGCACATAATTATTACCTTAGTTTTTTTAATGGTGAGGGACTAAAATAGAATAAAAACATAAATTTAGTGATAATTTTGAAAAAATAATATATAACTAAAATGAAACTGTGAGAATAATTCGGTGACAAATAGTGAGTTTACCCAAAGAAAAAAATGAATTCCCTGAACGCGCAAATTAATTAGGGTTCAATTGGATAGTAATTAGTTATCTGGCAGCAAATCACATGCACTAATTTAGGAAGCCCTTACCAAGTTGGCCACATCCAGACTGTGCTCACTGTTTCTTTGTTCTAAAGCCACCCAAGAGATTTCATCCAACCGCTATTCCTTAACCATGGCCTTTTACATGTACGGTCCAGATCTGTTTAAACCTGTCCGTTACTTTACTCATCATGATTCTTTTTCGTTTATTTATATTCACTCTCCCACTAGTTTCTGTGTTACCACATCAACCCAACCCCCGTCTCAAGCGAATAAGCATCACTTTTCTTATTGAGGGGGAATAATATGGATCGTAGAAGCGCGTTTGCGGTTGCTTTGATTTGCATTGTGGTGGCTTGTGTAGGTGGTCAATCTCCGACCGCCGCTCCCACTAAAGCACCAGCAGCAGCGACTACTCCTGCTGCTGCTGCACCCGCTACGGCTCCTGTCAGTAAATCTAAGTCACCAGCTCCGACCGCTGCTCCAACTGCTTCTCCACCAACTTCTTCGCCACCTACTTCGTCAGCACCGGCTACTGCTCCCTCGAAGTCTGCGGCGGTTCCAGCTTCTTCCCCTCCGGCCGTTGCTCCGGTGAGTTCTCCACCGGCTTCAGTTCCTGTGAGTTCTTCTCCAGCCAAATCGCCTCCTGCTGCCGCACCGACAACTCCTCCAGAGAGTTCAGCCTCTCCTCCGGCTCCTGTTGCGGCTCCAACTGCTGCCGATGTTCCTGCACCAGCTCCAAGCAAGAGCAAGAAGAAGTCAAAGAAACACAGTGCTCCCGCTCCTTCACCTGATTTGCTCGGACCTCCGGCTCCACCAACCGGTGCTCCAGGACCTAGCCTCGATGCGTCCTCTCCCGCCCCTTCTGCCGCCGCCGATGAGGTACATTCTGATCTCCTTTCTCTTATTCAATCATTTTTTCACTTAAAATATACAATAAAAACAATTTTCTTTCAGATCTGAAAATGTAAAGTAGTTACACAGCGGAAGTAAGCAAACTTGACTTTACATGTAGATTTCTGAAAATGCAATTTAGAATGATTGTAGATTTAAAGTTGAGAATAGGATTCGTTGAAGTGCGTTTGACTGACGCGCCGTTGAGGAATGGGTAGCTGCCTACAGTAATACTCAAAAGAATTATATAGTTTTTTTTGACAAAAAATGGTTTATACAGTTATAATTGATAATATATAATAATTTATTTTCTTTTAAATTAGTGCATTATATAAATATTTCCATTTATTTGTTTGTTACTATCTGGTAATTAGTCTCATTGAACTGAATATCGTTGAATTTTTTAAAAAAATGCAGAGTGGAGCGGAGAGAATGAAGAGCTTGCAGAAGATAATTGGAGGATTGGCATTAGGATGGGCAGCCATTGGGTTGATCTTCTAGAGAAGAGAGATTTGGATTAAGTTTATTTATTATAATTTTTAATTTCACTGTTTAATACATTTGAGATTATGGTATATTTATTTTACTCCATTTTGTTTCCTTATAAATACTTGCCTTAGTGGGGTGGTTTTTACTTTATATATTAGCTTGAGATCACATTGCCTTGTAATTATTGGGGGATACTAAGTTTGAGGTGGGGCACAATTTTTTGCTACTTTTTTTCCTACTGGTTTTTCCAGATATGCTTTCCTTGGTTTCTCTTCCCATTCATCAACTTTTGGGGTTTGCCTTTGGTTTAATATTATTATTATTATTATTATTATTATTATTATTATTTCTATATATATTTTAAAAAAGGTATTACTATAGCCAAATTATTAAAATAATATTTTTATTAAAGTAATACTCAAAAAAATTATTTTTCAAAATGACACTTATTTCAGCACATAAGACGAAGGCGTTATTACGTGGTAGTGTGTTATCAAAGTACTCCCACATGGAAATGTTTTTGACTTGCATGGCTAAGGCGAAGTAAGACACTTCCATGTTATTATGTCTTTCAAGTTTCAACCCACGTGTAAAATTTTTAAAAATAAAAAAGTATAGAAACTGAAGTAGTAATTTCGTATTGTGACTTGAAATGTATTTTGGTCACTATAGTTTTAAAAATAAAATTTCAAGTCATGGAACCACGTTATTATTTTAGTTTATATTTTTAAATTTTAGAAAGATACATTTAATAAAATGTGATTTTCATCACTTAGCGTCTTCCTTCACTTTGGCTACGTAAATCAAAGACGCTTTTACATATAGGCGCGCTGTCTCCATTTTGGTTACGTAAGTTAAAGATGCTCTTACATAGGAACGCTTTTGATAGGGTGTTGTCATATGGTAATGTCTTTATCCCATGTAATCAAAACGAATACTAATATGAGAATAATTTTTTTTAATGTTATTTTAATTAAAAATATTATTTTAATGATTTAGCATATTATTAAAATTTTCCAAATTTGAGTGACAGTAAATTGTGGAGTTCAATCCAAGTCTTAACCAATGGGAAGTTTGGTGGACAATGCAGGCATATTTATGAGGCGTTCCGTGCGTGGGGGTAAGTAGCCAACGAGTATTTTATGCTTGATCGGTGTCACTTCAAACAAGTCCCTCAAAATTACATCCACGACTCATTGGTTAGGAAAAAAAAGAAAGGGTAAACTACATTTAACAATCACTAAAACACTGATATGAGCGATGGCATAGAGAAGTTATTTCTAAACCATCACAGAAACTACATTTTAGATATTGTATTTTATAGGTCTTAAGTTAGCATTAGTATTAGAAAAATAACAAGCACACTTGAGTAATTCAAGTATACGTTGATATAAAACTATTTCTGTTGTCATGAGGATTTTTTTGAGATGTAGTTTGCAAATGGAAAAAAAGAACGACATAAAACTGTTTTTCCACAAATCATGTCAACCCCATACCCATTGTTCTCACATCGTCAAGGGATCTCTAGGGATTTGTATCACAAAAAACTGTTCTAAACCTTTTTAAAAATGTTTTTTTTAGATTAATAAGGTAAATATAAAATAATATTTAAAAAAAATAAACCTTGAAAAGAAAGTGAAACGGTTAAAAGATATAATTTTGATGTAAGTGGCACATTTTCTTAATTGAAAACTGAATATATACTTTTTTTTTTATAGAGAAAATAACCTCAGTGACCAAAAATTCTAGATAATATACGGTTTTGATCAACTTTTTTTGGATTTGCGAAAATGACCAACAAAATCGCAATGCGATCTCTAATTCGCATTGCGATCTCCACTATCGTAAATTCGCGTTGCATTTCGCATTGCGATAGTTGAAAATCGCGTTGCGATTTTCCATTTCGCGTTGCGAAAGTCTACAGTTGTCGTTGCGATAGTCTACAGTTGTCGTTGCGATTTTCCAAATTCGTTGCGAAAATTCATTGTGATAGTTAAAAAAAAAGATTTTGTTTCTTAAGAATTTTCTCTAAAAAGATAGTATCCGTGCGGACGTGTCAAAGACACGTATTACCACGACCACGACCACGACCACGACCATGACCCGACCCGAGACGGACGACGGCGGCTGCGGCGCGCGAGAGTCCCCCTTGTTCTCTATCACTCAACAAGAAAGTGGGAAAGCCAAGCCTTAAATACCATTCCCAATAGTGTTTCCAATACTATGTGGGATTGAGCATTACCAACACTTGTTTCAAATACAATCTTGTTTCAAATACAATGTGATTATTCAGGAAACAATTAACAATCATACACCTTAAAACAACTGAATTAGCAACTAATTGCATTAGTATTATATGATTAAATATGTCATAATTAAAAGTCAATCTACAATCAATCGCGATTATTGCAATTTTAAGCAAAACATTCAAAAATAATATCACTATTTAAGGCTCAATCCCACATAGTATTGGGAACAAGTGTTGGTAATGCTCAAATCCCACATAGTATTGGAAACACTATTGGGAATAGTATTTAAGGCTTGGCTTTCTCACTTCTTTGTTGAATGATAGAGAACAAGGGGGACTCTCGCGCGCCGCCGCCGTGGTCGTGGTCGTGGTCGTGGTAATACGTGTCTTCGACACGTCCGCGCGGATACTATCTTTTTAGAGAAACAAAATATTTTTTTTAACTATCACAACAACTGTAGACTATCGCAACGCGAAATGGAAAATCGTGTTGCGATTTTCAACTATCGCAACGCGAAATGAAAAATCGCGTTGCGATAGTTGAAAATCGCAACCTTTTTAGAGAAACAAAATATTTTTTTTAACTATCACAACAACTGTAGACTATCGCAACGCGAAATGGAAAATCGCATCGCGATTTCCAACTATCGCAATGCGAAATGCAACGCAAATTTGCGATAGTGGAGATCGCAATGCGAATTAGAGATCGCATTGCGATTTTATTGGTCATTTCGTAAATCCAAAAAAAATGGTCAAAATCGTATATTATCTAAGATTTTTGGTCACTGAGATTATTTTCTCTTTTTTATAATGCGCGGTGAATCCGGATGTCACATGGATGTGTGGTCTTAACATGTGCATTAGATGCCGATGTGTTCTTTTTCTAAACATTTTAATTCCCTTATCTTATTTCAAATTATTATTATCCGATGCTTTGCATGATTATACAAAATACATTATACAGTTGTACTATCCACTTAAATTGAAACCCAAAATAAAAAATACTAATAATGGAAGACCAAAATATGTGCATAGTTATTTAAGTTATTATAATTTCTGGTGAATTCAAATAAATAATTAAAATCAATAGTTTAATTTGGTTTTTTAACAAATCTAATTTTATTTTTTAAATAATATAAATATTTTTTTCTGTCCGTTTGTTTTTTTATCTTTGTGATCGACTATGACATTAATTTTGATGTCGATTATCGATTGCTGATATTTTTTGTTTTTACATTATTTTATTATAACACATATTTGCTTTTTTTTTCTTTTTCTCTGTTTTTTTTTAATTTTTAACAGCTATGCTTTCATGACACATTTTTTTTGTCTTTATATCACATTTTTTTTTACATTTATGTCACGTTTTCGATTGTTTGACGGTTATTTTCATTTATCATTTTTTTTAAAGTTGAATTTGACATCGTCATAACTGCACTGCAAGTAAATTTAACCAATCACATCCCGCTATTGTTGGAGTACCCTTACGAGATACTCATGTTATAAAATATAATAATAAAAATTTTGAATAAAAAATTGATAATATTAACTTGAAAGTGATATATTGATATAATAATCATACATTGATAATAAAAATATCTATTGAACATAAATATTCATTTGAGTTAATTTATTGCTCACATGTAAAATTGAATAATTATTACATGTTTATTATTACAAATATACATGTTTATTATTATAATTATAAATGTAATTTTATTAAAGGTAAAATACATAAATAGTCATCTAATTATATAGTATTGTTATTCAATCCCCGACTATTAAAAGTTAATGGAGTGTTGCTTCATTGAATAAATAACATACAATTATTACTTATCATATATATGTGTAATGTTTATATGATCTAACAACCTGATTGAGACCTAAAATGGAATTTTTCTTTTATTGGTAAGTCATTCATCTCGTTTTTTTTGTTTTTGTTGATCGGCGACAATACTAACCTTAGTGTTGGTTTTCGATCGTCGGTATTCTTTATTATCATTTTATTTTCTCCTATATTTTTTTTAATAAGTTTGCTTGTATGACATATTTTCCCATACCTTTATGATACGTTTTCTTTTACCTTTTGATACATTTTTGTTGTTGTTGCTTTTTATTTATTTTTTTCTAAGGGTTGATTAGACATCGTCACGACTAATAAAGATGACACTTATCTGTCATATTATTGATCTTTCCTTCTTTAGACCCTCAGATTGGATACCCATTATGCGTTTTTAGATAGCTTTTCACGTCGCTCGAGTCTGATTTACGGTTTGTCTGTGGTCTTTCAGTAGCTTGATCATCTTTTGTGGTTCGTTTGCCAATGCGATTAGATCTATTTGCATCTATCTTTGTTCGAGTTTTCTTGGTTAGATTTTAATATTTCCTTGTATGGTCTTTATAATCTTAAGTTGTTAGTTTTGTTTCAATGATTATAGAAAGTTGTCCTATTTATGTGCTCAATTTACGATTATGATTATAAATCTTTATTTTAGTTTGAGATATTTTCTATTTTGAATAAAATTAATGATTTTTTTTATATTAAAAAAAACAAGTCGATAGGTAAAAGTACAATAATGCATTTATTATGTGGTTGAAAAATATTATGTTGTAATTATAAAGACAAATTTTAAGAGATAACTTTTTCTTTCACCCCGACTTGGTATAATTTCAAGTCAAGTTTAATTGATAAGATAGAATTCATTAGTTTGACTAAAAAAAATCTTATCATTCGATTTGATTTAATCGATTAGCAACTGCGTAGAAATGTGATTCTAATGCTTTGTGTCGGTTTAAAACAACATAGAAAATCATTTGACAATGATTTCATGGACCAAACCTTATCAAGAGATATCGGAAATTAGCCCCATAGTAGATTTGATGGACCCATCCAGGACAATTTCCTTTCTTTTCTTTTTC